GTATAATGCAGTTTGCTCATCTATCCTTTTAACACTTCTCCATCAGACTGATTTCGTTCAGAAAGTCAGTGGAGTATTCTCTTCTGTGCTTCGCTGTTTATTTGGAGATACTTGGTCTGAGACAACAACGTCCCCAAATGCCAGCAGAGTTTCCTACTATCGCTTCCACTCCATAGGCCAAACACTGGGATCTGGATTTCCCCTTTTGAAAAAAAATTCTTAACCCCTAGACTATCCTACTAAACTTTAGATTTATCAAGAGCTCCTTCTCCTCTCCACTTGCCTGTGCATACTGTATACATTTTCATCCATCCCTTTATAGAGATGCTATACTGACAGGTAGCTTAACCACAAAGAAAGCTGGTGGATATAATCAGACTTCATTTAAGACAAAAAATCTCCAAAACACTAATAACCACAAAACCTTTCTTTATGATGAACAGAAATGGTCATACACTGTGCAGATCCAACCAGAAAGCTGGCTGGTATGGACAGCAGGATGTTATAAATATTGTACTGATTGAAAGGAGAGAAAGCAGCAAAAGCAGAACAGAACCAACAAAAAAAGCAGACAGGAATCTCCACTAACCACATGATGCCAAGAAAAATCTAAAAGGGGTGGTGATCAAAAGGTGGGACCAGGCAGAACGCACCACGGCCTGGTGCGCGTCCATGCCCCGGCCTCGCGGTGCCACCACGCTGGACTGACCACACTGCTCCTCCCTCGCTGCATTGGGCACAGAGAGGAAACCCAGGGATGGGGGAGATCCCGCTGTCCTGCTGCAGCCTCGCTCTGCACGGTCAGATACTGAGGCTGTGCTGAGGAACACAAAGGTGATTTGGTCCAGACACAAAGGGAAAAGCCTGGGGTGAAGTGCTGGCCACAAGAAGGTTTGTGTAGGTGATTACTGACTTCTGCAGTGCTCAGGGAAACAGGCCTCTATATGCATTTCTGTCAATAAGTATGACTGTACTGCTTACGATTAGGCATGAAAAGCCACATACCACAGACAGAAAGCCCCAGCAATTCCCAGCACACGTCTATGGAACTGAAAGAGTAACATTTACTGCAATGGCTTGCATAGCAAATAACTTGCAGCAGCAAATGTAGTTTAAAATGAAATACTCCTGCTAAAAAGCTTGTGTTTTTACGACTCTGACTTTGGGTTTGCAGAGATGCAAAGGCGTCACAGGCCTAATCACTCAACCTCACAGATCCTTTCCAGAATGACCAGCTATGGCACCGTACGTATAATGCACGTCCTGCCATGCAGCCATCCCTGAAACCTCACAATCTGGCTTAAATGCAGTTACGTTCTAAGGTTAATGCTAATTCCCCTTCCATTCTCTCCAGAAACATTTCTCAAATATATCTTCTCTTTCTCACAGAGTCTGCATAGTTTGTATAGCTGCAATGCTCCTCTAAGAAATGAACACCCACTCCCCTTCCCAGCCGGACACCTGGTTTGTGTTCGGGAATACACACATTTTTTCATTTACATGTACAGGCCATTTCTCAACAGAAATTTTTTCTTTTGTAGAAAATCCTGTAAGTTTAGCATTTTTCTTCTTTCAAAACAAGCAAACAAACAAAAAAAACCCCCATAGGCTCTTCCTGTTATGCAATGACAGACATTACACAACAATTGATTTCTTAAATTGGGTATTATATCACCGTATGGAAATACACACAATTTATATTTACGAATAGAAACACACAACAACTTTTCCAAAAAGGTTGCCATGCGTGTTTTGTCAGATTTAAATGCTTATTTTCAAGTTCTCTTCTTACACTTTAACAGGAATCAAAGCTTTTAATAAAAATTTTCTTTTAAAAGTTGCGTCGATATTGGAATGTTTCTGTGAATCTTTTTTCTTTCATGCAGTACTGACAGAACCAAACTCCACATGAAATTTCTGATCCACTTTCCTCTACTCTAGTCCATACAAGCTTTCCAAAGTGATAGTGCCAGACAGCCATAAAAAACTTTGCAAGTGTTGTGATCATGCCTACGTTCTCAAATGTTTCCTTATAAAAGTTAAAATCTCCAAGACAACAGAAACTGGAATTCTAGGATTCAGTTATAACTTTGTGATTCTATTCACAACAGGGCTAGAGTATTTATACAGCCGTTTGCTCCCTACAGAGGCTCACATTTGATGGAGTAAGAGCAGTGAGAACCCATGCATGCAAGGATTTACAATGACTGAATTTCCCATTTGTTGCTGTATTTCTCAGCAGTTCTGCCTCAGTTCTGTAAGAAATCCCTAATGCTGGAACAAACTATAAACGTACTATTCTTCTATAAATCCTTCAAGACACTGCAATCAAATCAAACATTTAAAGCAGCATTCTTGTCAACGAGCGTGTAATGTCAGAAATCAAACTAGCCAAGTACTGTATTATCTAAACCAATTACCATATACCTATTGTATTAACGAGGTTTGGATAAGGAAAACATCAGCGAAGTTTTAGCTGTTCAAAAAGCAGTGGTCTGAAAAATATGTCCTTGCCAAATACACTGTGATATATTGTGTTTCTTCAGCTTCCAACATCCAAGGCTTTTTAACGACTTTTATATTAGTGTACTACCCGCTGTAAACAGCACTGCAATCTAGAGAAAACACCACAGCTATAACTCACTGGCTAAATGCAAGAAGAATAAATGACTGGCTCTGTGTATCTCTAACAAAGACCTTAATATAGACTAATTAAAATAAGCAATCACAGGACAACTCTTCACACTGATATGTCTTAGTCTATTTTTAACATTTGTCAAGCATCTGACACAGCAATTCATGCAGCCTTATAATCATCTACATGCTACCAAGTGACCAGATTTTTTCTCAGGAATGGAGGAAAATTTTACCTAATGAGTATTAGGCCATGCAATATATATTTAGACAGACTAAAATGTGTATTTCGGGATACTTAGTATCACTTACATATTCTTTAGAGAAGGAAGCTTGCTTTCATGCGATATTTGCAATTTTGGTTGTCTTGCTTTTTAAAACTCAGTGGAAATAGTACCAGAGTGTAACTTCAGAAACATTTAGCAGAGTTCTAAATTCAACATGTTTTTTTTTTAAAAAAAAAAACGAACTATATAGATAAGCAAAAATTAGTAACAGAAGCAAATAACAAATCATATTTCCTATCCAGTAACAGTATAAGCCACTATATTCATGTAGTGCATTAAGAATAAAATAACTTGGCTCTTCTTTGTTTATTTAACTTTTATGATATGCATTCTATTTCCACACAAAAGTAGATAAGTAATTTTAAAAGTATAAACAATTTGACTTTCAAACCATAAATGCACACTTACCTTGTGTGCTCTTTCTTCAAGTTCTAGAAGGGGGTCAGGCCTGTGCTGTGACTCTGTGTTGCAAAACAAAGGACATTTAATTTGTGCATGTTGCTTCAAAGCTGAGAAGCTAGCTGAAAGCTTCAGTGTTGTTTTGCTAGTGTGACCTTAGTATAGCAAATCTGATCACAGAACAGTTTGACTTTTAAGAGAGACTATTTCATTACATGCAGCAGATGGCTCTTCCCGGGAAAACCTCAGCCAGAGAGAGTGAGAGGCAGTTGGCAGTGGTGAGAGGGTACATCCTACTTCCATACAAGTCCACAGGAATTTCCTCAGGCCCTGAGAGGAAGTGTTGGCCTTAGCTTTTCATAATAAAGCACTGGGTTATATTTTTAAGCACATGCTTAAGGCTGCTTAACTGCTTCACTAGGCACATTGGCAATTTCTTACTTGCTTGAAAGTCAAGCACAAAAAGTTCTGCTCCTCATGAGAAAATCTGCAATCCCTAACAAGTAGGCCGAGGAAACTAGCAGCAGACAGTAAGCTTTTAACAATCACTACATAAAAATTCACCTAAGGGTTCACATTCCTCAAAGGCAAACAAGTGAGTCCTCAAGTAATAAAGTATTTCCACTCCTGTTACCTAAGAAGCAAAGTCTTATGCCAGATAAACTTGAATAAATTGCACAAACTGCTACAGGCTCAAGGGATCTAGAAAAAGCCGAAAAGCAAGCTCTGGGCCAAGTTTTTTCTTAAGCATTCTGTAGAAAGCACAGCTAAAACTGGTTATGAGATACTACCATACTAAGTACTTCTTGCTGGCAGTTTTAACTAGGCTGAGATAGGAAACAGGTGTGTTCCACATAAACATAGCACCTACCACCGCCCTCACTCAGGCACAGCGGCAGGGGGATACATGTTTTATATAATAGCCAATAGTCAATCCCAAAAAAATGAGAGCCCAGGATTTAAAACCACATTCAACCCAAGGTAATTTAACTGTTCAGCATTGTAGGCAGACAGCCAGCAAGTACAGGCCACAAAAGGCACCTGCCTGATTTTCCAGCAGCTCAGTCATACACAGCTGTGGATAACTAAGTCATCAGGAATTCAAATTCACTGCCTTACCTGTATCCATTTAGCCATGCAGATTGGTTTAGCACCTAAATTGGGATAAATTAACTATTGGTTAATGACACAAGAAAAAAACACTCCATTCTTCAAGTCTAACTAAATGGCTTGTTTATCAGAGAGTCGGGACTTCGCGTAAGTCAGGAGAGCTGCTACCTGCTCTGCAGGAGGGTGTGAGGCCTGTTCTGACTTGTGCAGCTCAGCCCACAGACAGCAGATGCTACTGAACAGCAACGCTCGATAGTGTGGTCTCCATGCTGTGTACTGCGATTGCTTGACTTCCAGCTCGCTCACGGGGAAGGCAAGGCAAGCCTGCAGTCAAAAAGACCTCAGAAATGCAGACATCCGCATTTGAATGCTTGACCTCTGACTTATGAAGTTAGCAAAGCTACTTTCTAAGGGACTTTCAGTCCACTTTGAGCAAGCTGTACTTCCAGAGAGATGAGACTTTCTACGCTCACCTGTCCCCCAGCAGCAGTGGTGGAGGCGTCTCTCCTCGGGAGCCTCCCCGAGCTTACCTCCTCGCCCTCGCTAAGACACGTAAGGCATCTCGCCCTTATGCTGGGCACGCACTTGTCTGGGAACTGGCAGCACACTGCAGGGTAAGTCTGTGTCAGAGGTGTCCCCGGCTGTGCTTAGACAAAGCTGTTTCTCCTCAAAGCGAGAGCACTGCCCGCAGAGTCGCTCCGGGCTCCCTGGCCGTGTCGGGCTCGGCCGCGCCAGCCGCCGGCCCTGGCAGCAGCTCTGGCCCTCAGAGCCCGGCACCGAACTGCCCCGCGCCCGAGC